TCCCCCCGGGGCTTGTACTCTGGTAGTTGATGTTTCCCAGGTTCTGCAGCCCCGGTGGAGGCTTGATGTCCTCAGAGCTGCTGACACTGTTCATAGAGTTCATCTGAGGATGACAGGAAGACAAAACAGAAACAGAGACAAAGAGTTAGAGCCGTGCTGCTCTGGCTTGAACAAACACTGTGGAAAAGGAAGCAAAAGGGAAGTAAGAGTAAAATAACGTCAGGCAGGTCTCATGACACCCTCTCTCTTCCTCTATTCCTTCCTGTTAGCTTGTCTTCCGCTCACCGTGTCATTATTTTCTCCCCACCCACAAGTTATTAAGAAAATGTTGCAGTGTGCAGTCACATGCCACAGCCACAGCCACACATGCTTGTGTGGTGGGAGGAGCCAAGGCTTTAGTCTGAGGCCTGTCACACCAGATTTTTATGTTTGTTGACAGGGAGAGACTGAGGTCTACGTTCCGAACCTGTAGTCATTTTGAGACAAAACCAGAGGGAGCTCCGTCAAACCTCTGAGAAAACAAAAATTAAATGTACATATGTTTCTACCTACAATTAGTTTGACGCCATGAACCTTTTTATTTTTAGGTGTTTTGAGGTTTTTCGTAGCTGTAGAAAGTCAGTTTTTCTTACTGATATCTGTAATATGAGGCCTTACGTCACCAGAGGATCCCACTGGTCAACCAGCTGTGAACAACTTTGTCAGGTTAAACGTGAGACACACACACATTTTTGTAGAAGGTAAAGGAACCTCTTAACTTCTGTAAGACTGGTTGGACAAAAGCCAGACAATGTCGCAATACTTCAAGTACTGCTATATTACTCCTTCTCATACTGTATCTCCCACCAGCTCTTTGGTTCTTCCTGCTCGTGATTGTTTGTTTGTTTGTTTAGGTGCAGAGACTTGCACTCTAACAGGAAACAACAGTGTTGACCTACATTAAGCCTCCTGTTCTACAGTATGTATCTGAGGCAGCTTGTCAAATGTATAGGACGGGCCGCCCCACTGTCACTGCAGGCTTTTCCTATCACTTATTTACAATGAGCACTTCCTTTCATCCTCAACACCACACTTAGAACCACACAGAGGTTGTTCTACAACAAAAAACAGTAAACAAAAAAAAAAAGAAAAGAAAAGGTGCAGTTCTCTCTATTGTATTTACCCCAAAGGCACTGTTTCACATGGACATGAATGAACATTCAACATTACACTTTCACTCATCTGTGAGTCAACAGTGCACACTAATGTCTCTTCAACGCAACCTTTAGCAGTTTTCACAAATAATTAATTTCACACTTGTATGACTTTAAGAAACATCTCGAGGCACATTCAAAGCCTTGTTCCGACTCGCTACTCTTTTCAGACAAGCGACATATTGGTGCCAGAATGGCTACCAGCTCTGCATATGGATTATTGATGTGTCATACATTCTTTATACATCACATGGTATGTGGAACATCACTCGTCAGACATGTAAGGTTTGTGTGTGGTCGGTTCATGGGCCAGATGTGCAAGTATAGTAGCATCCTCTCTCTCTTGTGTCTCTCAAAATTTGGTCTGGATAAATATATAAATAAATATATATATATATATATATATATATCACTACATGGGGAGTTTGGGAATCTAAGGACATTGACAAAGCAATAATAATGTTTTGGTTTGTGTTTTTTTTTTATTAAATACAACATTATTTAATTAAAACTTGACATGTCTTCTGTAAACCTTAATACAGTTCCTCAAAAATAACAGTTGTTTTTTCCCCACCTTTTGACCTACTTTGTCTAAGTAAGACATTTGACAATAACAACATCCCAGCTCTTTACTGGAAAATCAAACTGGTTACTTGTGTGTCTTTATTTGTTTCTCTACTGGTGCTGCCCAGTAATTAACCAGCAATTTGTTTTTAACTTACCTACGCATTTAGTCCATGTTATTTGTCACAATTAATTGGATTGTTATGAGTAAAATTTAGTAACCCAACTTATAATGTATATTTAACATTTTCAGTGAATGGGAAGTATTTAAACAGCAGTTTTGGTTGCTTTGTAAAGTCAGTGATGTGTGAAAAAGGAATTAAGGAAGAATAACAAGCAGTCAGTGTTTTGATTGAAGGAGTAGAGTTATAATAAATAAGTAGAGAAAAACAAGGCTGTGATCTAAATACACATGTATCACTCTTGGATGGATGTTGGCAAGTGGTGAAAAGATGATCATGTGTTACAACTGAACTAACCTCAGCTGTCTCTCAGAGCACAGATCCATACTATGACTGCAGCCTCTTATATGATTCTGTGCCTCCGCCCTGCAGCACTGGCCGAAATCCAGCCTGTGACGCACACTTAATGTGTATGTGTTTCTACACGTGCATCATCAAAGGTTGTTGACTACAACCTAAAGAAAATGTCTCCACTCCTGCTGCTGTGCCAAGATTAGAAGATTATTCTTGTGGCTGTTTCTTATTATTGCAGTCTGTACAGTACTGTAGCACAGCTAAAGACACAAAGGCAGGCAGAGGCAAGCAAAAAAAACCCCAAAAACAAACAACTGACAGGGAAGCGGAGGGAGAAGGAGCAGGACTTTTATTTTTTGATTCCTGTCTCTGGGCCCTTCATTACAGAGCTAAATCTTTGGATTCTGTCAGCAGCACAGGAACCATGAGTGTGTTTTTTTTGGAGGTGGAAGTGTAAAGGTCAGTAAAAGGAGAGGCACACCAGTGCATGCCAGCTAATGCATTGGATATGATTAACCTTCAACATCCTATCCACCGTGAAGGCTTGCAAGAACGACAGGCGCAAGATCTATTAAGGAACATGGTAGAATCATGCAGATCCTCGCTGCCAAAACTGTAATTTTAAGAAGACAGACTGCTGCTGCTGAGTGTGCACTGATGAATGAATAGTCCTTGTCTGTTTTTGAAAAGGTCACCAAAGAGATTAGATTTTCCAAGCACCAAATATTGCCGCTGACGTATCACTTAAGATCAAATGGAGCAGTTGCTGTGTGATTAGCATTTAAATGCTGGTCCTACCTGCGGACTGGTGAGGGCTCCAAAGTTCATGTTGGGCGGGGACTGCAGGGACACAGAAGGTGAGCCCAACGAGGACGTAATGACGGGGTAAGGTGAGGCCAGGCCGTTCATCTGTGAGCCCAACGTGGACATGGGAGAATGTAGTTGTCTGGAGGTGCTGATGACGGACGGGTGTCCCACCATCCCACCCATGGGTGGTGGATGAGTGTGGGCGGCACTCATCGACCCGGCGGAATCTAAAAGAGAAAATACAAATTTATAAGATATCATACTTGAACTGTACTCTAAATCTGTAAAAAAAAACTATTTTTGTTCCTTGAAGACGATTATAAGATACTTGTATTAGTACTCGATAGTCTGCCCATCCAGCAGATTTAAACAGCTTTTTACTACAAGCAGGTGCACACAGGTCAGCCAGAGTTGTGTGTGTGTTGTGTTCAGTGTCTCATTGTCCCAATGGGTCGTTTATTTAAGTTTTTAAGTTATTTCCAGTCTTCTCTTGGGCTTGTGTTTGAACCACATGGTGCAGTGATTTACCTCTGTCCAGTTTTTACATACAGTCCACTGTATGTGGACACACGTCAGGAATTTCTCACCATTTCGATAAAGAATGCACCGACTGCAGCAGCTTCAAGATCAGACAAGAGAAAGGCAGCGACTAAATCGTAGTTCGTCGGAGTAATTGTAACGGCAGAGCAGTCCATACACAGAGAAGATGACAAATTGATTGATATTTAAATGTCATATGAAATCACATGTTGCTGACCAATAACAGGAAACACATTTGCGCAGTCAGTCGGTGTGTGTGTGTGTGTGTGTGTTTGTGTGTGTGTACTAATGTCTAGGCAGAATGTAACCATATGTTGCCTTTCTGTTACTGCAGTGTTGACTTTGCTCTGCATCGGTTGATGCAAACTGACAGGCTGGCATTTACAAGGATGACCTATTTAGAAAGGCTGTCAGTCAACGAGGTAACAGGGTGCAGGGTGTAATTTCATGCATGTGCTGCAGCTGTGAGGACGTCCATTCACCATCAAGGCAAATACCATCAAATCAAGACGTAACATGTGTGAGGACCAACATGAGGTGCAGACAAAGAGAAGACAAAAAAGGTCACGGGCTTGTTACAGGTTGGCTGGGTGGAGACCAATTAAACACAGGAACTTTATGTATGCAAATTCAAATACATCTTTGGAGTTTTATATATATGTATATATATATATATATATATGTTTAATCCGCTTTCCAGGTGATTTTGTGTTTTTCTGAACCACCTCTAAGTACACAGTGTGAGACTGACTCAGCGCCACTGTTCTTAGTTAAATGTCAAATTCTGTAGTTGTTGGCATAAAAACCTGAAGCACAAAAAAAGTCACCTGTCTTCCTCCTGCATTTTCCAGGAAAATGTTGTGCAATTACTAATTACGGGGAATAGTAAATGAATGGGTAGGTAGTGAGGCTATTGTCATCCTACATAAATAGAAAGACAGATAAGATCTCCGGCTGGTTGTGAAGGCAGCGTTTTAAAACAAACAGGACAAGTTCTTAGACTGTGTGCTGGACCTCTTATATCAAACCTCACAAACCAGTATTCAACCAGGTATTCGAAGACCTCTGTGTGTTGGCTCAGCCGTCATATAGAAGCCGAGGTTTCCTCGAAGTAATCAGAAGTAACTGCAGCCATGTAAATGTCATTGTTGAATAAAGAAAGAAGCAAAAGCATGGTTTAACAACTCGATCTGTTCAGATTTCCTTTCAGTTGTTCATTTGCAGGCTGATAAAAGCTTTGAGGCAGCAGATAGAAACACGGAGGAGAATAACTACATCCATCCACCTATAGATCTACACATTTACCCTGTCCAGCAGCCAAGCGGCACATTTGCCACTTTCTTCACACTCACATTCACACCTACGGTCAACAGGGAGTGTCCAGATAACCTCACTGCCAATCAGTATGTGTTGGACTGTGGAAGGAAGCCAGAGTAAAGTGAAAACCCATGTGTTCAGGAAGAACATGCAGCTTCATACAGAAAGACTATGCATCTCAGGACATGACCTGCTGACCTTCTTGTTGTTGGGACACTATGCCATTGTGTGAGATGCTGCTTTCCTGTTAGCTAAACAAATTAAGTAAAATGCAAATGTTTTTATTGCTCGTTCTTTTTTTTTATTTAGATACATCCACATTAGAGTTTGATCTGTCAGGTTATATACAGTATTATTTTATTAACACTACAGATGAAGAAATTTGCATTTAAAACAGCAGATTTCAAAGATGTTTTTCAAGAGAGAAAAAAAAAAGTTTCCATCATGGTAACAGCAGCTGCCAGCTCCGGGCAACACATTGTGTTCCTTCACAGCCTAGTCTAATTCCCTGTTTGTATTATTTGCTATTTATATGTTATGTGTGACTGGAGGTTTTTTGAGGTCGTTTCATCAGTTGAACCTGATTCACCTGATGAGCTCTTTTGAAAGGCTGCACTTAACCTGAAAAACACCTAACCACATTAAATATGAAAGGCCCCGACGCTTGTGAAAGAAACGGAGAGTGAGTAATGTGAGAGACTCGCTTTCAAATGTCAAGGTTTTGTAACGTCTTGCCTGGACCTAGCTCTTTTTGAATCAGAACTCTTTCAAGCACACAGCTGGCCATTGAGTTTCCTTCTGTATGCCAAAGAACAGATGTTGTGCAACTTCCTGTTTAGCAGTGAGACTACAGCCCCCACCCCTTTTCTCACCCGTCCACTCTCTGTAGCTCTCCGTGAGTGATCCCTGGCAGGCAAATATGTATTGGGGCCTCAGTCCTGCTCTCTCTCCCACAAAGCTGTCATGGTCCATACACTCCACACACACTCTCTAAGTACTTCGTTTTACAGCGTGTAACGTAGCAAATCCACTTTAATGTGAATTCTTTAATCATGTGTTCTGAATTTTTTGAGGACAACTTCCTCTAATCACGGAGCTTACATAATGAATGAGCGCAGGGGGAGGACAGCATGTACCGTCTCAGTTTGTGCACTGAACCCCCTCTTTATGTGGATGACCAATTCCCCTGGTGCCTCCTAGGTTTGATTCTATAGCAGAAGTGCTGAGTTGGTAACTAAGCCGTCATCAATTAAGCTAACCACGGGTTGGAATTTCTTACAATCGGGATCCAATGTTACACAATTATAAATACATATTATATCTCTCTCTCTGTGTATGTACATAGTACTGATTCCACCAAATAAGTGTATTTCATGAGTGGAAGTTTCAACTATGTTCCTTTTTCCTTGTGTTTCCAAATTTGAAGGCTCCTCACTGCCATGAGGAAAATAATGGATCACAGTTTTCTGTGCTCTCATTTTGAGGTCTTTAAAATACTTTCACCACATTATCTTTTTCCTTCTGTTTAGCAGTTTATTTATTGTGCTGTATGTGGCAAATTAATCTCTTTAAATAATATTAATCTTAATTAAACTAACATCATAAATAAACGGTTGGATAGACACAGTTTATTTACATTTTATTTTACTTACATGAACTAAACTTCCTCCTCATAACTTCCTGTCACATTAAACCTGTATTAAACTTAGCTTTAATTGGCTTCTATGGGCCAGCACTGTAAAGGTGATTTCTTATTTTCCACCGTGCGTACTAGATGCTGAACCACCAGTGTAGCATTTTGTCATTTCATAGAAATATTTGTGAGTGACGTGGAGGCAAACCACAGCCTGATATACAGTAGTATTTCCATTTGTATGTATGTATACTTTAAAAACTTCTAGTTTCCTGTTATAGTTCAGACAAACTGTGACGCTCAGTTGTTCATTTTCGTCCTTATTGACTTCTGATGTGGAGAGCAGACTTTATATTTGAATAAGTGAGTCTGTGACTGTCTCCTCTGTGTTCTGCTGATTCACAGAGGCCTCCCTGAACCTTGAGTTAGTGGAGGCCACATGTTGTACAGATTTGGGACCACACGTAATCTGCACTTAAATAGCACCAAAAACCAAAACGCAGAGGGATAGATAGACTTTATCTGACTTGAACATTCAGTTAGGCGTACAGCACATGTGAAATATGCAGAGCTGGCATTGTCGTCAGCGCTATTTCTCAATAACAAGTGTTAGCTGCTAACTCAATCCCTAATGGGATTTTGTCCAGTAGTATTGAACAATAGCTCATTCAAACTGAAAGCATGACTCATGTACATGCATGTCATAAAAATATATTGTTTGGGGAAATAAAGGAGGGATTTTTAATCAGAAAGTTTTCTTTTTCAGGAAGAAGAAAAACGTGTATGTAAACGTAGCTACAAAGGGCTACAGATGGATGTATACATGTGATTTCCAAACACATGTCATCGACTGCTTTTTACTAATGCTTCGTTCAAAGAGGACGGCATGTGTTTTAACTTAATAGTTTGTAACTGCGGAGAGTCGGCCGATCAAACGATCCTTACGCTGTGACTGTAAGTTGACACAAGTTGTGCCAAATATGAGTAACAAGTAAAAAGTAACACAAAAAAAACTTCCAATATCTGCTTCATAAAAAGCATAAATACAAGTTTCCACACCACTTCAAGTTTGAGGCAGTCAGTGGTCTGGTGGTTAGAAGATCAAGCTTGTGTCGAGAGTTTTGGCAGTTTGAAAAGCCATGGTTGGCGGGAGTGTGGTGTGTTGAGCGAGTGCCAAAAACTGTCTCTTCAGGAGTAAAATGAAGCCCACTGCTAGTGAGTTTTAATCACTGTAGTGTGTCATAGGTCAAATGCAGAGAATGAATAAATATAGTACAAAAGAATACATACAAATATGAAACATAAAAACCTGACACCTGTATTATTATTATTATTATTACCTGCTTATTGTAATGTGGACTAAGGTACATTTTAATAAAGTGGTTTCATGCCAATTGATTAAAAACTAGTGAAAAAGAATGTAACACTGATGGAACCATTACTATGTCGGTTCAAATCATCGCAGAGTTCAAATAAGTTTTGACATAAAGTGCGTGTTTGTCTCATAGCTGGTTGGACGGAGGCCAACATTCAGCAGGGAAAGCATACATTGGCTTAGTTGGCTCAGAAGGACCTGTCCCTGAATAACCCTTCTCCATATCCACTCTATGGAAATCACCTCAAAAAAAAAAAAGCTTCTGGAATGTACAGCCCTGCACATGTGACGCAGCAGAGAAGGGGACGCAGACAGACCTTAAAGTCTAATTTCCTTCACTCGAACGGCTTTAATCTCACTTTTTCCTGTCATCCTGTGTTTAAGATTATCGGTCGGAAAGCAAACAAACAGAGCAGTGAAAGGCACCTTTGACCAGTGGCTTCACAAATCAAAGGTCGTCCGTTGTCAAAATTCTGAACCAAGTTCAAAAGAGGTCCTGTCTGTCTGCAGCAGTTACAGTCAGTTTTACAGTCATAATAAAATGCATCTGCGTGTGACCGATGTACTGTCATTATCACACGTGTTCTGGGTACTGTATATCTAAATAAGTATACAGCACTGACCGTGTTAACCCATCACACTGACACAGTTCATGGAGATTTTTCTTTCATTAAAATACATTAGATCAGGGGTGTCAAACTCATTTTGGTGGTACATATTAATAACAAAAAAGTCTGTCTTTTACCCCTTTTGTTTTCATGCAAAAAAGTATATTAGATGACAAAATTCATCAATTAAAATCCCAAGCTGATCGTAGTGTAAAAAAAAAAACCCACAAACATAAAATACGACATGAACGTAAGAGCCGCATGTGGCTCCCGAGCCGCGGGTTGGCCATGCCTGTAGTAAATCATGGAGAATTAAATTAAGACAATTAAATATAAATATAATAACTAAAAAAGTAGTGTAGTAGTGACCATACACTTAATAATGAAATCATACTAAGCCATACAGCTACACGCATTTAATCAGTAACCCATAACAACATATAATGTATATGTATAAGTGTTAAATGTTCACTTTATATGTGTAAGTATAAATGTAATGCTGAATAGAAGCTCCCAAGCCAAAAAAGTGTGGACACCCCTGGTCTATGGAACTGCTGTTAGAATGACACAGAACTCCAGGACACCTGTTCTACAACCTCGGCTGATTTCAGGTGTTTTCTGTAGATGTCAGACCTATTCTTGGAGCAGCCACTGCTCTGACCAAATGACAAACAAATTAGACTGACTGAATAGTAAAAAGAATCAGTCAGACAACACAGCCAGCCCACACACATGTAATTAGGACATCTCTCCACAACAAATCCAGCTTACTGAGGTCGATACACACACACACACACAAACAAATAAACACCTAATTAAACGTGCATGCACACAAATTTGTGTCACATTAAAGAAATGACACAACTGTTTTTTTAAGCCAACAGGCACAGAATAGGCCGCCTTTGAACATTCATTACATAGTCAAATGAGGTTGATATCTGATCGGTTGTGTCAGTAAATCCTCTTATCCCTGGGTAAGAATCTGCAGCTCAGCAGGCCAGCTGTCAAGAAAGCAGGAGGCCAGAAAGGAGGGGCCAGCGCCAGATTGCAAGGAAGGGAGCAAAGGATGGCTAGACAAATGGACGGGAGGATGGAAGGGGAGGACAGTGGGACACTGGCAGGATGCCACTCTCCAAAATTCACATGATCCGTTCAACACGTACACCTAACGCTCTACCTGGTTAAGACCGAGGAATACAACCTGAGTTTTCTGCCGGAGTAAAATTGTTTATTAAGTAAAATGAAAACAGAACTTTCAAGCGAAAATATGTTTTTTGTGGTTTCAAGCCAAATCTGACAATTGCACAACATCAGTGCAACAGGAACATTGTATATACAGTAGATAAAGAAAAATAAGGAAGTGGGTCATAACAGCACAGAAAGCACAGCTAATGAAGTTCACTGACCCTAAATTCTGCCTGATAATGAACTCAGAAGTGGACTCCCACATGCTGTTGCTAAAAAGAGACATTAACCCCGCTTCCTTTCTTTCTCTCCATCTAGGCTGAAGCTCAGAAACAAACAAGATAAATTATTATAATTATAGCTAATGGTCATCCTCTGCACATCGCATGTTTTTCCTTTGTGCAGAATCTTGCTGCTGAAGCCTGCCAGGGTAACAGTTTTAACCCAGATTTAAGGAAAATCAATGGTGGTGGGGGGACTTTCTGAGACAAAAATGAGATAAAGGTTGTTTTGACAGAGATAAAAATGAAGTTTGAAAAAGAAAAGCTAACACAAGTCTGCTTGCGTAGGCAGAATAGACTGACCACAAAATCTTCAAAAACAAACAAGCTGACAGACGACCTGCAAACTGACAGACCCTGTGCAAATCGACGCACGCAACTTTGTGGCTCTGTGCAACAGAACATTCCTGGAAGTAGGCGCTATCTGTTACAGAGGGCATCATGGAGACACAATGAAGAGTATAAGCACACACACACAGCACGTCACTGGTCGCACTCAGTGGTCAGTGCTGCCTTGTGTGTTTGAGCAGGGTAACCTGACAAGATCAATAAGATGACAAGCGCTCGCTGCTAGCTATAGCTTTGCTTCTTTAGGTGATGTCCCTGCCTGAAAACACTTGACCAAATACAGGGAGGCTGTAGAAAGAATCACTTATCTCTAGTCTCTTCTACCGGCAGACACAGAGGCAGACACTGTGTTGCATCCTAAGTCCAAGTCAAATGTTATGATATTTATTTTCAAATGTAAAAGGCTGTCGGTTTAATGGCAGTAGGTAGACGATTTAATTCGCACTCGAACCATAACCCTAACAATAACCATTACTAGCTTTGGCTTCATTAGCATTCCCAAGTACAATAAGCATAATTGCTGGCTGGTGGTAATAAATCTTACCATGTTATGAAGGCACTTGGGTCATTGAAACTTTAAATGATCTCAATTTGTTTGTCTGGAACACAGGAATTATAATACACCTAGAGAGAGAAAGTCAGCGCTTCTCTCTTTCTCCGGTAAACAGAAGCAAGTTATATAATAACTTGCTTATGGATGTTTACAATGTCCTTTTATACTAACAAAATATCATTATCTAAGTACGACTAAAACTAAACTGTAAAAGTCATGTAAACATGTGAGCCATAATGCTGTTAATAAGTACTAAAGAAAGTCGCAGTAAAACACATTGATAATTGGTCTTTGGCCAATGCTAATGCTAAGAAACTTCTTCTGGCTGTTCTGACTCTCATAGTGGAGCTGGGACAATCTGGGGAGATGTTTGGGATAACAACTTCAACTCCTTGCACGTTGCATGTATAGGTATCACCTAAGAAGCAGTAGAGTAATTAAACATACGTCACACGTGGCCAGAGAGAGCACATGAGCGGGGTAAGGTAACGGCTGGGAAACACAGCAGTGTCATTGCCCTGGAGCTAACTGCCTGGGCTGGATAACCATAACCATATGGGAATTTTTGTGTGGTGTTTGCAAAAGTGTCGCGAATAGAGACGTATTGTTTCATACTGATAAAAATAGTCTACTTTAAAACAACCAAAATAACCCCTCAAATACAGCCCTACAGCATTTACCTAAAATGAAATCCCTACAAACGTAAATTCTGTCATTCATAACTACAACTTCAAAAAAATATTTCCAGCTTCCAGCATAATTAAATAATTTTCTTCTTTGAACTTACTTTGCCTTTAAAACCTTAAAAAACTATATTCTATACAAACATTTTATGGTGCCTGCTGTTTTATAATCTTTATGACACTCCTAACAATCCAGCATGATTGTCGTATAGTGTGTGTGCTTTATGAATAAGCAAGCTGAACAATGCAGTAGAGGCTGAAAAATGACTAAAAAGCAAATACAGTACTGTTATAAATGGATGTTTGGTTGTCAGCAATGTTTTGATTAGCACTAAAACCACAGCGCCACAACTTTTGCTGTGTTTTTATTCCCAGTTCAAGTCAATAATGTGCTGTTGACTCCCAATTTTTTGATTCATTCTGGTCCCTGGTCTGTTTGTACACAAACACACTGGCTGGTTCTAAGTAACAGTGTTACTAAAGAACTTGTTATCTTACATCAACACCTCCAAATCTCTTTTAACACAGGAAGGTAAAAAAATAAGTCAGCGGGGTCAGTGGCGATGCAGAGATGCAGAGTGATGGACAGCGGATAAACTCCGAGAGAGGGAAACCAAAACAAACAGGGCTAAAAAAATGGACACATGCTGAGAGGTAAATAGAGAGTGAATGACAAGGCAATAACAGCTGAAAGCTCTGCCTTAGGTTGACTGGCATGTGCAGTGATTACATATATACATTTAAAAAAATGAGGTAGCAGCATGAATCATGAATCAACACTCATCTGTGCAGAAACAATACAAATAAATATGACAATTAAATTAGAAATATAGTAAAGATTACACATAGAATAAAAGCAGCTCTCAGTGTGTATTTTTTATCTTATCTTGTTCACTAGTGTGAAGCCAACATCCTCGCCGGTAATAATCCCTAGAATGAATCCGATTTGTGTATTTGCAAATGACAGACACAAGCAGCGCAGTACTCACAGTGACCATATCCCATGTCCCTCCCAGAGTTCCCTCCAGTTGCGGGAGATGCCATGGGGTGCCACATGGCTTTAAGGGTGAGTGTGGTGCTGGCAAGACAACAGTCACACTGGGTTCACACACGGCCGACGGCTTTGAGACAAACGAGAGAGAGAGAGAAAAAAAAACTACTCAACTACTTTACTGAACAGGAGCGAAAAAGGTCGCTGTGGAGGAGGAGGATAATAAGGGGTGGGGGCATCATGGAAGAGCAAAGAGGCGGAGTCCAGCGCCGGTTATAGGATTACCCAGATTATCCTTCTTCTCAGATCAATCCTACAGGAACTGTTTGCTGTCTGACTACTGCACAAATCAGGTCTTCTGCCTCCTACTCAACTTATGTATCTCTCTCTCTCCCTCCCCTCTCTCTCTCTCCCTCTCTCTCTCTCTCTCTCTGCTCCCTGAGAGCTTGTAAAACTATCTGCACAGAGACACCTGTTGTAGTGGGAGAACATTGTGACTGGCAAAGAGATAGTCATGTTGGAGGGGGTCACATTTTAAGAGTACAGTACAGCCACAAGTTTCTAATTTCCTCCTCTTAAAAGGGATCAGGATAAGAGAGCATGGGAAGACAGTGTGACAGTGATATTGCGACAGTCAACAAAGTTTATCATGAGTCACTGACATTTCTCAATTTCTCTTTTTTTTTTTTTTCTGAATTCAGTCCCAGACTCTCCGACTGTGATAAACACCATGTGAACGTTAAAATGGGAAATGAAAATCACAATCCTCCCTGGTTTCATTCTGCACTTCACTGTAACATCCATGTGCCAACACACACACAGGCTCAATGGCACTGCAGAGGTATGTATGCACTGCCGTTCGCACTTTTGCCATGTTTGTTTATGTACATAACATGTGTTAAAGCATTCCAGGAAGCCAGGAATTGTCTTTCTTAATTCCTTAGATTTGTCAAGCGTACAAGCTGTAAAGTGAACAACCAGGTGCAAACAGGCGGCCAAAAATATAACATAAAGGCAACAAAAAACAATGCATGAGTAACCCACAGGGAATCTAAATAAACGCCAAGACATGCTGGGACATATTCCTTCGTCAGGTCTGGTTCTTGTAATGTAAGTGCAGCTAACCAAACAAATGCTCCGTGAAGACGCTGATAGACCTTACAGCTATTCAACTTAAAATCCGTTTTAACAAAACAAACAGCACTAAAGTGATGCAGTAAACTTTAGTAGGCCTCAGCAAAAACACAGTAAATTTATGTTCTTGGCTGTGGCCCATTGTCCACTAAAACGATCCTGATTTAGGTCTACAGCTGTTACTTTTCATTTATCCTGCCCGTCATATCAAATGTTAAGCACTTGATATGATGGCAACGTTTCAAACGCTCCCTCCGGTGGACGGCGTTAAAAATTGAAGATATTTTCTCCGTGCCTATTTACAGTATTTTACTCACATGACTTACGGGTGCGTGCTTGTGTGAAGCACCTGCATGTGGCTGGATCAGATGTCCATACACCAGCTTGAGGGACGGACACCGGTAATCAGATCCCCCTTGGTTATAGTAACCTGGCAGGACTCACGCTGAGACAGACAGTAGAGGCGGAGGAGCCGGGCCAAGCAAAAGACACACTTTCCTTGAGAATATCCCACAAGGACGTGGAAAATAATAGTCCCTCTTAATTGCACAATGTGTTATTAAAGTGTGTTGTGACCCACATAAAAAAAAATCCATGATTAAATTGTGTTACACACCCTTCTTAAATACAGCACACACCAGAGACTGAAGGTTGTGGCGTCCAAAAATGCCACAGAGCAACAATTAATACCCACTAAACTACCCTTTGTCTGGACAGGAGTATTTCTGACAGCAGTAATGAAATAACCAAGCCATGGTTTGACTGGAGTGTAACTACCAGAAACAGTGATGTCGTCACGTGTCATCGGACGGTGATCAAAATAGCTCACCGTGGTTTACGGCGTGTCCTTCGTGTGTCTCAGCGGAGGTTTTTAATAAGCTCTATGATGTATTCTGTTACTCTGTGACACACACAGCGCATATCTGTCTTGTTTGTTGGTCAAAAAAGATTCATAGGCACTGACACGGGACAAAAATGTACAGGTAGACTGAACTGTTTCGGCATTAGTTCTCTCTCAAAGATCACTCTGAATTACTTTGTTATTCGTTTTTACAACCACTTCGCTAATTTCCATCACACAGCATTTACACCAGGAGAAATTTTGGGCCTCAGAATATAAAGGTATATTGACTCTAACCGGACTTATGCAAACACGTGAGCAAGAGTAGCGAACAGATCCTTAATTCTTCGTTATATCCTCTGTTTCATATATTTATTAGCTTTACTTTTCCTAAATAAAAATAAATTCCATTCTAAAATAAAAAAATAAGGTTTACTATAGATGTTTTTTTTTCTTTTCTTTCACAAGTGGTTATAGACCGGCGTGTGGCATTAATGCTGCTCCCCCCACCCTTACCTCACCATAAGGGTAAATGTCAGGGAAGAACTCTGGAGACTCACTCCTGTAAATTATACTCTCTATAATCTCGTGGTGTTTGTCTCACTGAACCTAATTACAGGATTAGAGAGGTGTAACGTTTGTGGTTCGTGTTGAATTTAAGATTAGTTGTAATGAAGTTAAACATCTATCAGGCAAAAAAACAAAGGCGGACAAACCACGGACAGATGATTGAGATGAGTGCTCTTTACATTTGGCTGCTAATAGCAAGTCAAAGTATTTATTATGGAACTGCTTTGAACAAGTTTAGGCTTGAATGAGACACCGATCGGTGGGAGTGGGTGGTGATGGTTTTTACAGTGTATTGTAGGTGTGTATCCATTCATTTAGAATCATGTTTTGGTTTTTTTAAATCAATATGTGTCATTTCAGAAGTTGACTCAACATGGTTAAACTGGTGAACACATTTTGTCTTGACAATTTGTTCACAAGGGCATTCAAATTGCATTGTGGTGCTTATTTATTAGTTGATTGCAAATTTTGTATTGATTTTTGTATTAGCATAACTGTTTCATCCTACCCCTAATCCTTTTATAAGAATTGCATAAAAATAACCCCTGGCCTTGTAGTCCTGGAGACAGAACAGAGCTTTATAATGACTGTTGTAGTAAGGTCGTTTGGTGAGGACAGAACAGACTGTTGTAGTAAGGTCGTTTGGTGAGATTTTTTAATAATCTGTGAGAGAAATTTGCTGCATATTTAACCTTTGAATGTACAAAGGAAACAAACCACCAATCCTCCTAATCCTCCGTAGTCCATGAACATTTTTTTTTCTAGTTCAATGACTTGTGTTTTTTGCATTTTGTCAGTATTTACAGTTCAAAAGAGAACTAAACATTTTTTTCTAAATTATGTATCGGTCTTATTGCATGAATTAATGCTGAAATATGTGTAGCACTTACAGTGAGTGTATTTATGGTGCATGGAAAATTAGGTTGTATGCAGTCCACGTGCAACCCATATGTTGTTATTGCTTTATTAGCAAAGAACCCCCTAATGAATCTCCCGGCCTCACATCCTGTAGGCCTTTCAAGGTTCCCCGCTTCATTAAAGCAGCATTAAATCAAGACTTTGATTTTTTTCCCACTAATGCCTAATTAAAGGAAATTAATCCAGAGAAAGCTTCCCTGTGCCTTGTGTTTTTCATCAGATTTTGTTCTCATAATTAGGGCCGACTGACACATAATCATCACAAGTATTTTTTGCACCAACGTGTTAACGCTCACACTCGATCACAAAAGCCCAGTATTAACCCCATGGTGCTCATTGTGTGCTAATGCCTGCGACAGCACCGAGGGATTTTTCTTCTCATGCTATAGAATCCATGAGCAAATACCTGAGGTGAGCCCCACCCTTTTTACCTGTCTGGTTAATTTGCCTCCGCAGGAGTGGGCGGAGAATGTTCTGTACAGGGATAGGCCACGAGTGAAGGTTTAAATACTTCTGCTACTTCAAAGTCAAATTTGAAAAACCCACATTCCTTAAGTCAGCTTAGATCATAGGCCACATTTTTGTTGCTGTGCATGAAGTCTACATGTTAAAGCAGATGTGATTCAGAGTGTGTGATTGGGTGTTCCCCCTCTGCCAGGGTGTGGGTGTATGTGTGTGTGTTTTGTGTAGAAGGCAAATCATTGACCCCTAGCAAGTGATGAGAGTTCACATCAACAGGGTGACCTCTTTCCTCACCTCCCCACCCCCAAACGTTGTACTCGACACTTCCCCTTTTTTTTTTGCTCCCTCTCCCAGCCGGGTCATCATTCTGCATTCACTTTTCTCATTTCTTGAGCTAGAACTTTTTTTTATGTTCACACGGTGCAAATGCTAACTAGAATCACTTCCACTGATGGTGAAAAAAAAACACCGACTATTTGACTGTACTCGCAGCTCAAAGCTGGCCAATGAAACACAACAAGTCTGGGAAAAGTTGAGTAGATCAGGAACCAATCTGCACATAATGAAGAGACTGTTTGCTTGACTTCACACTGTCTCGTCATCGGCTCACATTCATGAGAGATTCCAAACACGAGATTGTTTCCCATTAAAGAAATGTGAATTGTTTATGGCTTTATTTTCAGATCTGTTTCAGGTCTGTGTGTGACAACAACGCATCATAAATAATAATTTGTAGTCCACACGTGGAAAAAACAATAATATTAATAATATTCTTTAAGTTTTGAGTCTAATAGAAATTACCAACATAAAAAGACCCAAAAATCACAGCTCAGTTGTCAATGGTTTAAAACCACTACTGGTTTTAAAGTGACAAAAAGAATCAGTTGTTTCTCCATTAAATATGGGCATCAAGTCAAAAATTTGCCACAGTTTGATGATAATTTCATCCCAATTCATGTGAAATAACAAGATATCTGGTTTTCATTATATGTGGGAATCTGGGAATTGGAGACGAAGAAAGTTAAAAGTGAGTGGATGCAGGACGCATCTAACCGGAAACAGTAATTTCCTTGGGAATGATCATAACAAGAGACATTATTGGACAGAGTTATAAATAAAAGGAAAAAAACATCATTCCATTCCAAGATGGAAGACACTCTTATCCATTAGATAAAAGGATCAATGGTAATTCTACATACTGAGAATTTTAACTGTTTTCCTCATCGACTGAAGGAAATGAGGTCATCATGGATGATGTACACTGTATGTACTGTATGTGTGTGTGGTGGGGACATTCTG